GAGAGAGAGAGAGAGAGAGAGAGAGAGAGAGAGAGAGAGAGAGAGAGAGAGAGAGAGAGGACGAAATCAAATGAATCTACCGCTAGAACATGGAAATATACATTGCGCACATGTGCGCAGCACACCAGACGTGCGCAGCGCGCACTGCGCACCCAGATGCGCGGCGCGCGCCGGTGCACGCGCACCCTGGGTCCGCGCACAGCGCACTGTGCAGCACACAGTGCCGGTGCGCCGCAAGTATGGTCCAGATCCATTTGGGATCTGGGATGTTGTCGTCGAAGACCCAGCCGTCGTAGTCTGGGTCATTGACGAACCAGATTCCTTTAGCTTCTTCCACTTCTACTAGCATGTTTTGTCTCAGTTTCTTCTGCTCCGTGGAGCGCGGGCACTTGGGATCCGTTCCTAGGTGACCCCTGGCTCTACATCTGAAGCAGATTGGTGATGCTTTGGTCGAGACTGTGACAGCGGTGACTTTGTCTCCGATGAGACATTGCCATTCTTCTGGGAAAATTGGGGGGTCGTCTGTCAGAACCTCCAGAATGGCAGTGACTGAGTCGCAATGGGGAGCCAGGAAGTCGGGCGTTGGAAGGACCCACTTCTGGATCTTGTTAGCTGGGTATTCCACTTCCAGTCGATCTTTGATCAGGGGGGTGTCCTCTGGCTGGAATGTTATCGAATTGTACCCAGAACTGTTCTCTCATCAGGCACTGTTTGTAGGAAGCAGCTGGCGATACTTCAGCTCGCTGTGTTGTTTCCGATTTCCAGCGTGACAGGGTACAGACCGAGCCGTTGCAGTTCAGTGTCTTGCATTTCTCCAGCAAGTGCGTCGCTTGGTTGGCGTCTTTGAACACCACCATCATCATGGATCTGCCCAGACCTAGCAGGGAGAACTTGTCTACCTCAGTTTTGATGTTTTCCTGCTCTTGAATGGTTTTCACTATCCACTTCCTCTTTTCAACTGGGGAAAGTCTCGCTCCGGCATTGGGAAAGGAGAAAATTAGTGTGTGTTTTTCAAAGGCCGCGTTAGTGTCGGCCATCTTGATGTTCCTGACTTTGATTGTGATTTTTTCACCCTTGATTTGTGGAGCTTCCAAGAGGAAACACAGTGTCTCGTGATCCACATTGGAGGCAATCTGGGAGGGGGGTTTCGATGTAGTTGCCTTTGCTGCTGCTACCGTGATGAAACGCCGTTGGTAAGTTTGGGCCATGTCTGCGTTTGCTGGGTGTTAGGCTGAGTGGTATGATAGTGTTTTTCCGTTGTTGAATTGGTTAGTCACATGCGACTGCGCTGTACGTTTTGGGAGTTGTCTGAGTGCTTTTTTTTTTTTTTTATAACGTTTGCCTCTCGTCTATGTGTTACGGTGTGATCTGCTCACTTCTTGTTTACTGATTGTTTATTGCCAGGGGGATTGTCATTGATCTTGCTGGTGTACATCTTCTTCTTCTTCTTCTTCTTCTTCTTCCTCTTCTTCTTCCTCTTCTTCTTCTTCTTCTTCTTCTTCTTCTTCTTCTTCTTCTTTGGTCTGTATCTCTCTGCAAATGCTTTCATTTCTTTCACAATTGGGTGGCATTGTCTTCCCTTGTGACTTTGACTTCGGAAATAGCCAGGATCACAACAGTATACAAGCTATCTTAGTTGTTATCAGTCAAGCGCAGATTATGGAAGCTCAATCTGAGTCTGTACAAATGCTGCCCATTTCGTAAATACTGGTTTCTGCTGTAGGTTTGTGGATTCTGGCCCTTGATTTGAGGGAGTTGTCAGGTTTGTGGATTCTGGCCCTTGATTTGAGGGAGTTGTCACTCTGTGGGTATGCATCTGCGATCAACTTTTTTCCTTTTTATATTGTCAAAACAAAGCTATATTCTTCTCTTAATTTTTCACCTCACACTAGCTACCTACATACCTCGCTCTATCTAGCAATATATCTAAGACAGGATAGGATATCCATATTTTTCAGCCTCGAAGGAAAGAGTTCGACCATTTACTCTACTCCATGCAGGGAATAGTACCTAAGCTCCTAAACCCTAGCGAGGGATGGCACAGGCAACGGCCGAGGGTAGGACCCAGGCTCCTACCAAGACCGGCCATGGGGGGCAAGCCAAGTATCTCAGCTGGTAAATACCAAGCGATCTGCTTCATTTTGTGTACTCATCCAAAATAATACCGTAGAATAGGTTCATAATTTCATGTGTATCTTGTATTGATAGTTGAGGAAAGATCACAGTTTTGGGCAGCCAAATTTTGGCAAATTATGGCTTATGGTATTGTGTTCCTGGCGTGCCATTGTACCTGATGTTAGGCTTTTCCTCTCAGTGGCATTTATAAAATGGAAGTTGAAACCCTGTTCACTTTGTTTATGCATGACATCTCTCTCTCTCTCTCTCTCTCTCTCTCTCTCTCTCTCTC